AGAGAGAGAGAGAGAGAGAGAGAGAGAGAGAGACAGAGACAGAGACAGAGACAGAGACAGAGACAGAGAGAGACAGAGGAGAGGAGGATGGGGTCAGAATATGGTAAGAAGGGGGACAGGGAAAAAAGAGGGGCCAAGCAGGATACAGAGAAGAGCTTCCTCCCGAACTAGGGGCGGGGAAGAGCAGCACTGTCCTCCTCATCCAGTGCCAGCACAGCTGGCAACACTGGACGTGTGGCTGATCCAGGCCCCACAGCTGAATCAGGGGACCAGAGCCTCGTGCAGGGAGCTGTGGGTGCTCAGGGCAGGCTCGAGCACCCTCCCGCATCACGCGTGCACACGCACACCAGCCTCCAGAGGAGACCATGTGGTCGTGGACGCGGGTCACAAACAAGAGATGAAAGGCAGATACCAGCAGAGAGGCATGGCACTGGCATTGGCTGGGGCAGCGGGGCCAGGCCCAGCCCCCATTGTGCTGCTAGTCCTGGGAGCCGCTAAGGGGCCGGGTGGGGGCTGGTGTCAGGAGTTCAGCGCCTCTCCTCCTCTCCCCAGGGTCATTGTCCCAGCAGAGATTCAGGCCCAGCTCTGAGATGGTCAAGTAGGGTCGCTCCGGCCTCCACTTAAAAGGGAAAGAGGACTGAGCCCACGGCCCAGGGCAGGGGTGAGCTGGGAAATGTCCTCAGGCTGGCCTGTCCCCATGGGGCTCTGGAGCCATGGGGCCCATCTGGGTCTGCATGTGGCCATGTCAGACCCTGGGCTGTCTCTGGGTGACCCGGCTGCCAGCCTTCCCCTCACCCGCACTCTAGTCTGCCCCATGGCATCACCAGGGATCTGTAAAAAATGCCAACCAAGACCCATTCCAACACTTGCAAAACTCCCCAAGTGGCCTCTATAGTGCAGACAAGCTCTGGGGACACCAGTGAGGCTCTGCAACCCCCAACGCCCTTTCCACCCCCCCTTCTCATCTGCCCTATTCCCGGGCCTAGCAGGGCTTTGTTGAAACACACACATGCATGAACAATGTTCATGCAACTCCAAAGCAATCTCCACTCTTTGCAGGACATTTAGGGGAGGTTTATTTTTTGGTTTTGGTGCCAAGGACCAAACCCAGGGCTTCCAGCTTGCTAGGCAAGCATTCTACCGCTGAGCCAAATCCCCAGCCCCTCTCTGCAGAGCATTTAGAAAGGAATTTTTAAGAAGAAAATGAGCATGTCTGTAATCCCAGCACTTGGGAGGCTGAGGCAGGAGGATTGCTACAAGTTCAAGGCCAGCCTGATCTCCATAGTGAGCTCAAGACCAACCTGAACTACTTAGAGAGATCCGGTCATAAAAATAAATAAATAAAAGAGCTGAGCATGGTGGCTGATGCAAGCGGATCTCGAGTTCAAGGCCAGCCTGGGTTACATAGCAAGACCCTGTTCTCGCTCTCTCGTTCGCACATATATATACGCAATCTGTCCTTAGTGACAGTGGCTGCTGACATGTTTTGTTTCCTTTCTTTCCTTATGGTTGAGCAAACTGCTCAGCCTCAGGCTGCTCTGAAGTCAGAGGGCTGGGGACACCCAGGACTGGCGCCGTCAGCCCCCCACAAGCCACTGTCCTCGCCTGTCCCAAGCAGCAGGCCCAAGAGTGTCGGGCGCTACAGCTGTTGCTGTCATTTTATTTTTATTAGCACAGGGACTAATAAAAACAACAAGAAGTAAATCGCATCTGGGAGAACTGCTGGGAGGCGCCAGCGAGCAACCACTGGGCGCGGGACGCCCGGCAACCTTCCACTGAAGTCCGGAGCCGCCGGGGGCGGGGCCCAGCCTCAGGCCCCGCCCCCGCCCCGCCCCAGCCCAGGAGGGGAAGGGAACGATCCACCCTGGACTACAGCTGGGCCTGCGAATCTCTGAGTCCTGGAGATGCGGGGTGGTTTCTCTCCCCGAGGTGCCTGGCGAGGGCGTCTTCCCGGCCAGTGCATTCTTCCTTCCAGGACCCACACAAACCTCTTCCTGGCTTTAGTGTTAGCTCAGTACCCTGGAGATCTCTTAAGCAGAAATTCCCAAGACAGCTTGTTTTGCTGTATCAGGGTGTGAGCAGCTAAAACGCGCACACGTGTGCACACGCGCACATGCACACACACTCTGACTTTGGCTGAAAAGCTTGGGAAATAATGGGGTAAACTGAGTCAAGCTAGTTTCTTTGCTGCCGGATTTGTCAGAACCCTGGCAGCAGCTTCCCAGAGCCCAGGCCAGGGAGCCAGCGATCCACGGCACACACCATGGGGAGGAGGCCAGCAGAGAACTCACAAGTCGGGCACAACAAAGGTGCTCCTGGCCAGGCGAGGTGGACGGCCTGCGCAGGGCAGCAGCTCCAAACCTTGATTTTCCACACATGGTGAGGGAAGCGGGGGCCTGGTCATGAGAACGGCCCTTCTCTCCACAGCGAGTCACAGGAGCATGTAATTACAGGGCAGGACTCGGGTAATTAGCCTGGGGATGGAGCTACACTTTTCCCTGTGCCCTGCTCCTGGCGCGGGAGGAGAGTCCCACCGCCAATCACCTGGCAGCACCCCACCCAGCCTGCAAGGCAGTCATGTGCTGATGGACTGGGGGCTGCCAACACCCAGGACCCCCTGGGGTACCTGAAGACCCTGCCTCCTGGGCCACACTCTCCTCCACCCACTGAGGTCCTACCCCAGGACCTTCGGGCTGTCTCTGGCCATTTGCTCCACCTGGAGCCCAAACACAAGCACGGCTTTTTGTTCTTCTATGCTAGGGATTGACCACAAGGCTGCTGAGTGACATCCCCATTCCTTTTTATTCTTCATATTTTGAGACAGGGTCTTGCCAAGTCCCCAAGTTGTGATCAAACTTGGGATCCTCCTGGCTCAGCCTCCAAGAGCTGAGATTACAGGTGTGCACCAGGATGCCAGCTCTGTACAGCCTCCTGTCTCATTTTCCTGAATGGCCACCTCATCTAAAGGCCACTCCATGGCTCTCTAGCCTCTTATGCTTTGTCTTCTTTCCACCTAAAGCAGTGCTATTGGCCAGTTTGTGTCTGTGCTGCTGGGCTTCTGTGTGCGTGTGTGTGTGTGTGTGTATGTGTGTGTGTGTGCTGGAAGATTCAGGTGTGGTCAGGGTCTGTGGTTCAGCCTGTCATGTCCTCTGCTCAGCAAAGGAATTGGAAAAGGGGGGGGGGAGGTAGGATCTGGGGTGAGCCATCATAGGAGAAAGGGACACAGGGAACTCTAGGAAAAGAACCAAATTTACTTCAGTTTAAGGCAAATTCCACACAGACTGTCTCAGAGACGGGCACGAGGACCAGACAGCAGAAACCATCACTGCCATGCAGGGCCGAGGGGGAGGTGGTGGGCGAGGAGCCCATGTGGCAGACAACGATGGCATGCAGGACCGGCTGGGCAGGCGAGGCTGGAAGCTGGGCCGGGTACGCCCTTCTCCCCTCCCCCAGCGCAGACGCTGGAGCCTGGGCTGAGGATGGGCCCCAGGGTGGAGGAGCCAGGTGTGGGAGCCCCCAGACTTGAGCAGCCAGAGGACTGGACAGCCTGGCTGAGCTGCTCATCCTAAGGACGTGGAGACTGAGATGCAGAAGGCAGATGGGCCTCGCTAGGCTTCCCCTGGGGACAGGGCTATAACTGGATCCCCACACAATGGAAGGGCAAAGGGTAAGAGCAGTCCAGGAGCCCCAGGGGCACAGACAACAGGACCCAGGGCCTGGCAGCAGCTGGCAGAGAGCCACCACCCCTGGTGGTGCCTGTGAAGCTCACCTTGAAGGGACTTGTGTGTCTGTGAGTCCAAAACCCAGATGCAACCAAGGCTCCCAGAAGGCCCTGGGCCACCGTGTGACCCGGGTCCATGCTGCAGCCCCTGCAGGGCTCCCCCAGTGCACAGTGTCCTGGGGAGAGTCCTACACTCCACCAGCCTGCAGCTTCGCCAGTCTTGGGGTTCACGGGAAAGGAGGCACACAGGACAGCTGACCCAGTGGGGGCAGGAGGCCCAGTCCAGGCTCCAGGGCCCAGGGAAGCCAACGGGGCTCCCCAACAGTCCCACAAACACCTTCCTGGCTGGACTGGGACCAGGTGTCAGGGAAGAAAAGAGTCAGAGTCCTAAACCCCAGGCCCGGCCTGCTGTGCACCCCTCTGTCATCCATGCACCCCAACTTCCTGGTTTTGGGCAGCGAGTGAGGTGAGGGGTTGGTGAGGCACCTCCAGAGCCTCTGCCCCTGGTTCGTGGATATCTGCAAGGCTGTAGAGCTCAACCGTGCAGGGGAGACCCAGGGGGCGTGTGGGCCGGGGACTGCGGCGGTGAGTGTGCGGTGGCAGCGGGCGCAGGTCTGGGGCGGATGCCCTGTGCCTTCATGTATGACACCAGCTGGTCAGGGATCTCAGCCAGGACATCACGGGCCAGGCGGGCCATGCTCAGCACATGGTTGCCCGTGCGGTCCACGTAGTCCCGGAATGGCACAAACTGTCAGGCAGAAAGGCAGAGTCAGGAGGGTCTCACGCTGGGCCCTGACCCCAAATCTCCGGGCCTTTCAGTCACTGTTCTTACATCCACTCAGCAAATCCTGGCTGAGCACCTTTTCCATGCCAAGGCATCCTGGCAGGGCTCTCCCACCTCCACCTCCTTGAAGAAGAGGCTAAGAAATGGGCAGCAGGCCCCTGCCAGCCAGCCTCCTCCTTCCTCTCCAGCAGAGCCTGTTCAGGCTGCTCTCACGGGGGAGACCCTGGCCAATGGCTGGAGCCAGGTCCCTCCCGCTTTTTCCTGGGTCCCCATGGAGCACCCCAGCATGTTTGTATCTTTAGGCTCTAGGGCACAGCCTCTCCACCAGCCACCTCTCTGGCACCCGCCCCATTTACCCTGCACACCTTCTTGGTGTCTAAGCCAGGAGGTGAACAGTAGCTGCCCCACTCTACATCCCCCCAGCCCAGATGGGGACCCCCAGGACAGACCCCAGCCTGCGCCCCTGAGGCCTTGCCTACAGCTGTGAGGATGTGAATTTTCCAAATCCAAAGCCCACAGCGCCTCCCCCACCCAGCAGCAGAGGGCTGGGCTCCAGCTCACAGGGGACCGTGGGCAGGGCAGGGCCGGGCCACCAGGCGGACAGGCATGCTGGCACCCAGCTTCACACACGGCATAGACAAGCATGACCCCGGGATGGGCCAGGCCACTGTGTGGCTCTTGCACTTATTTCTGGGGCTTCACCTGGACAATGTCGCGTTCAGCCAGCTTCCCGCGGGAAGAGATCCGCACATCATCGCCGTCCAGCTCCACCATGGCTGCATGGGGCAAAGCACCGTGGAGAGCGGAGTCACCAGCGGACCAGGGCCCAGCAGGACAGCAGGCTGGTCCCCCCAGTCCCAGGCCAGTCTGGCCCTGCCCACACTGGAGGTGGGTAACCAACCCCAGGAGAGAGGGGCTGCTCAGCCACACAGATGCCCAGGGCAGAGGGCACAGGAGCAAGCTGGGTGAGGCACCTGCCAGACAGACCCTCCCCATGCACGCACCAGCTCCTGTCCCCAGCTGGACACCACCCATCCTGGGCAGGGCTCTTGCACCCTGGGAAGCCAGGGCCCTGCGACTCACCATCGAACTCCGCCTGGCCCACACCCACGATGATGATAGACATAGGGAGCTTCGCAGCCTGGAGTCCCAGAGAGGCCAGGTAAAAGAAAGAAGTAAATAGTGGGGCGCGCAAAAACAAGACCAGGGGCTGAGAATACAGCTCAGTAGAATAAGTGCTTGCCTGGTAAGCACAAGGGCCTGAGTTCAATCTCCAGATCCACAAAAAAAAAAAAAAAAAGAAAGAAAACAGAGGCCCTGGCCCACGAAGCACCTCCCCTCCCCAGGCCTCGGGGCTCCCCTGAGGGCAAGAGGCGTGGCCTGCGCTTCCTCACTCACGTTGACGATGGCCTCCTTGGTCTGCGCCATGTCGGAGATGACGCCGTCAGTGATGATGAGCAGCACGGAGTACTGAGAGCCGTCCTGCACAGCCGCCGCGTGCCTGCGTGGGCGAGCACCTGGGTCACGGCCTCCGGCCCCCCAACACACACCAGGGCCCCGAGAGGGGACACGCAGGGGAGGCCATGGCAGGCGGCAGGCGCAGCTCACCTGGCCACGTGCGTGACCACGGGCGCGAAGTTGGTGGGGCCGTAGAGCTGCACAGTGCGTAGGCTGCGGTGATAGGCCTCCAGGATGCCGTCGATGCCGCAGCAGGAGGGGTTCTCCTGGTTGCCGTTCTGGGGTGCAGAGGAGAGGGGGCTAGGCCCAGGAGGGGGCGGGGCCCCACACAAGGAGGCTCCCAGAGAGCTGGGGAAGGGCCTGCTCTGTGCCTGAGTCCCGTGCCCAGCGAGGCACCTGGCACACCATACTGTCACCCCAGGGGCATCCTGCTATTGTGGTTTATATCTGGATACCCCCCAAACCTCAGGCGCTGAGGGACTCCGGGAGATGACTGCCTTGGATGCTCCTGGCTGCCCTGATGTTGGGAGGTCAGGCAGGGTGCACGACCGGAAGCAGAAGCGCTCATCCCCTCCCCTCCCTTGGGTTTCCCTGTGCCCCCCAGCAACTCCCCCAACCACTGGCCCCATCTCCCCAACCCACCGGCCCCTACCAGCGGGAACTCGTGGGACACTCTGCCGTCGGGGGGCAGCTTGGCCCCGAAGCCCAGGGCGGGGAACATCTTGTCGCTGTCGTAGTGCTGGATGATCTCCCCAACGGCCGTCAGCGCCAGCGCGTAGGCGTTCAGCTGGTAGGGGCTCATGTAGTGCAGGGACGTGGACTGGGAGGGATTCCCTGGACGCGGGGCACGGGTTTAGCATGCAGAGGGGTGCCGGAGGGCACCCTAACTCTGCTTTACTGTTGCTGGACTCCCTCTCACTCCACATTCGAGCCTTTGGCAAATTCTGGCCCACGACCCAGAAAACAGGTGGGGCAGCGGCAGCCGCGGATGGCTGCTTCTGTCCACCTGTGCACTGGCTTCATGCCTGCATCCCGCAAGGGCGAGCCAGCACACGGCCACCAGTGCACTCAGGGCTCCTGTCCCTGTCACGCATCTGCCCTGCTTGCCCTCAACCCCACCCCACAGGACCCTGGCCTTCCTCCCCCCTCAACTGTGGCCGACACTGTCCCCTCCACTTACGACCTTGTCCCAGACACCACACGGCCCACTCCCTCTGCCATCTTTGTGGTCCCACAGCTGCTTACAGAAGTTACAGCTGCCCCCAAACCTGCCATGCCTCTTCCTGCCATGGAGTCCCCCATCCCTGTCACCATTCCCAGAGTCCACAGGTCACCAATAAGGTCATTTATGAGAGGCCAGGCTCCTCCTGACAATGCTGGGGACTTGGCTGAGGTCCTTAACCTCTCAGCCTCAAGTGTTCTTGTGTGTAAATTGGGGCTAACAAGAGTCCCAGAACTGCTGTAAGGATTAAAAGGTGTCACTAGTGTCCCTGGCCTTCCAGCTCTGAGAGCCTAGCACCCCAAGATGCTTGAGCTGCAGCCACAAGAGGGGCTCCTGACTCAGGAGGGGGACTGGGCTTGGGCATCATGTGATAGGCACCAGCATGAGTGCCTAGCCCCTCTTGGGTCCAGAACCAGAACCAGGCTATGACCGCTCACAGGAGCAGCCTCTCATGGTGACCTTTCTGGGCCTCAGCACAGCCGGTCACTGGAGGGTAGAGGAGGATCAGAGGAGGAAGTGAGGGTGGTCCCTGCCCAGGTAAGCACCAGGGTCCTCGGCTGCACCCTGCCTCTCTGAGGACACTGGGCACAATTGGTCCCTACTGTCCTTATGGCCCACTGGCTGACAGCTCAGAGCAGAGGAGCCATGACCATAAAGGACACCTCACTGCTCTAGGCTCTTCAAGGGCCAGGGGACACAGGGGCTCCCCGAGGGCAGGGGCAGGGTCTGGTATGCAACCCCCAAGCCCAGTTGTGTTAAGTGTTTGTGCTGTGACCTTGGAGACCTCTTGGCGCCTTGGTTGTCTCTTCAGTTCCCTGGACCTGGGAAGCCTAGTTTTTGGTAAGGAAGAGGCCCCAGATATGAGGGGACCAGGCAGCTCGAGGCCCACAGCCAGCCCTACCACCCTTAAGAGCAGCCCCTCCCCCACTCACCATTGGAGGCGGTAAAGTCAATAGCTACCGTGAAGTTGATCTGGGTCCTAGAAGAGAAGACAGTGAAGATCACCTAGGAAGGTGGGGCTGCAGGGAGGGTAGATGGTGCTGGGCAGGAGGGACTGCACCACCAATGGCCAGGGGTGTGGCCTTGGTGATGACCAACTGTACCAGGAGTGCCATCCATGCTGTCCTCCAAAGAATGCAGCGAGCACCCAGAGCTGGGGGCATGCAACTCAGGTGGGCACATGGAGGTAATAACTTCCCTCCTCCTGAGCCCTACCGGCTGAGGACTGGTCTCACTGGGCCCCTGACTCAGGGTTAAACATCACGTTGGCGCCACGGAAGAATGGGCCACCACTGTGAAGTCCTCTTAGAAAAAAGTTGAGTCTGAATCTGATTGGGACTCAGAATTCTCAGCCACAGGTGTGTGTTTGTTTGTTTAAAGGAAATACAGAAGGTAGAGACACAAGTTAAGTGACACCATGGGGATGCAGCCAGCAAAGTCGAATCCTTGGGAAACTGAAGAAGTACCACATGAGAGGTCCACGGACCACGGGGGTTGGAATCGCCCCAGAAACTGGGAATCTTGGCCCTCCCCCTACACTTCCAGAGTCAGAATCTCTTGGGGGGTCCTTCACGGGCTTGGGGAGCCAAGAAAGGAAAAGAAAAATTAAGAGGTAAATCCATCACTAAACACATGGATCTTGCCTGAATTACTGATTCAAACAAACCAATTTAAGAACTATGACACTGCACTCAGGTGGCTGAGGCAGGAGGATCATTGCAAGTTTGAGACCAGCCTGGGCTAGAAGGTGAGCTCAAGACCAGCCTGAACTGCATAGCGAAAGCCTGTCTCAAAAAAGCAAACAAACAAACAAAAACTATAAAGCTGGGCATGACGGCGGTTCTCTACACTCCCATCACTTTGGGAAGCTGAACAGGAGGAACACAGGTTCAAGCCCAGCCTGAGAAACTTAACAAATTAGTGAAATCTTGTCTCCCTACTCCCCAACACATTAAAATTAAAAAGGGGTGGGAGTACAGGGATGCATCTCAGTGCAAAAGTTCTGAGTTAAATTCACACACACACACACACACACACACACACACACTCTTTATGAGAAGGCTGGGGTATCGCTCAGGGGCAGAGCGCTTGCCTAGCTGGCACAAGGCCCTGGGCTCCACCCCAGCACCACAAAATACCTAAGTAATAAGGTTTTAAAACTTTATAAGAAAACTGGGTGTGGCAGTGCACGGCTGCAATCCTAGCACACTGGGAAGCTGAGGCTGGGGGATCCCAAATTTGACCAGCTTGGGCAACAAAGCAAACCCTTGTTCCAAAATCAAAAAATTAAAAAGAAGTCAGGCTCAGGTTGCTGTGGTTCAATCCCCACAACACAAGCCAGCCAGTCATGCCTTGAAGGCATTCGGAGCAAAAAAAAAAAAAAAAAAAAATTAAAAAGAGCCAGGGATGTAGCTCAGTGCAAAGACCCCAGGTTCCATCCTTGATTGGGGGGGGGGGTACCTGAACAATGTCCAAGTATTCGATATTAAGGAACTGTTGGTTTTTCAGCGATTATGGTATTATTAGGGACTGTGATTTATTGTGGTGATGATGGCATCGGGGCCTTATTTTACAAGGAGAGTCCTTGTGGATTAGAGAGACACCATGAGTGCCAAGGACAATGACAGCTAGGATATAGTTTGGCATAAGTAGCTGAAGTGGACAGAGCATGGAAAGAGATAGCTGAGCTGAAGTGGGTGAGTGGTATCTGGGGGGACTTCCTGCTCTCTACCTTTGCATGTTTGAAGTTTCTCATAACAAAATTAGGAACTGGGGGCATAGCTCAGCGTCATACCCCATGCACTGAGGCATGGGTGTATGAGACTGCCAGGCACCAGGTGGTGCTCTTCGAGGTGGGGCAGTTTCTTATCATCTCATACCCTGCAGCCGCTTCCTTACCACTTGCCCAGCATGCCTGAAACCCTAACAAGTAATACAAAGAACTTTTGAAACAGGCAGGTCTATGACTGTGAGTTCAAAGCCAGCCTGGGGGGAGGGGGTAGCTCGGTAGATAAGCGCTTCCCTGGCAAGTGCAAGGGCTATGTTGCAAGACCCGGACTCCAAAGAACCAAAGAACAAAAATAAAAACAAAGCACAGCAGAAGTTCTTCTGGAGGACTCGGGTTCTGAGTCTAAGGGCTCAGCTGTGCTCTAGGTTCTGCCAGATGTGGGCTGAACGGAACCGACCAGGGCGTGACCCCTGGTTAAGTCGGCCAGGTGGCACTGACTAGGTGGGCAGAAGCCCCAGTTCTGGTCAGGTGGGGCCTGAAATCTGCTTCTTTAGCAGAAACCAAGGGATCATGAGGAGAGGTTCTGGGGGCACCTGGAGTCTCTGAGATGGGGAGGAGAGGAGGCAACCTTGGAAGGGCCCTGGGGGTGGTGAGGGAGTGCAGGGAGGACAGGGAGCCAACGGGCACCTCCCTCAGCTTCCTCCCGGGCCCTGCACACGGCTACAACTGTAGCACTTGGGTCCTCCACAGAGAGTAGCAGGGAGGCCGTGGGCGCAGGGGTTCTAATCTGCTGGGTCCGCAGGCGCCAGCTTGGCTGTGGCCCAGCCTCTGAGGGCTCCAGCCTTTGAACTCTTCATCTCCATCTGCACCACGCCCTGCCCGGTCTGTCAGGGCTGTGGAACAGGAGGAGTGCAGCGACATCAGGAACCCTGCTGCCACCTAGCTGTGTGTGGGACACCAACAGAGCTCCTGCCCTGCCCCCACCAGGCTCTGTAGGTTGAGAGACAGTAGAACCCGGATGATGAGTGACTGAGAACTGCCAGGAGCTGCTAGAGGCGAGGGCTGGGGCTTCCAGGGGTTATGATGGAGGCAGGGAGAGGGCTGCAGGGGGCCTCTGCGTGCCAGGGACTGGAGGCCGGGGCACAAGAGGCACCTGCAAGCTTGTGACCTTGATAGTTCATGGGAACAGAGGTGGGTCATCATGGGACAGGGAGGGTGACTCCCCAGGGCCTGGCTTCTCGTCTGCCCCTGACAGCCAGGTAGCCGAATGCCTGCTTGGCTGGGACAAACCTTGGCAGCTGCCCCTACCCATCTCCTTCCCAGGCAGGTGCAGCCGCTCACCTGTCTGCACCTGTGGGCTCCCAGCTGCCCACGCTCTGGCCTGGCACCTGCCTCCCAGGATGCATGCCAGTGAAACTCCCCCGCCCCTTCCCTCCCTGAAGATCCTGCTGGTGCTTTAATTCACGTATGGGCACCTTCAGGCCCAGACCATCCCGGTGCCCCAGGATGGGGCATCCCACAATCAGGCTGGCCCCTGGCAGGCCAGGGTAGCAGGCGCTCAGGACACAGGTACCCCACACCCACTCCTGTCACCTGTGTGCAAGGGACCTGACACGGGCAGGGGAGGTGCCTCGCTCCAGCTCAGTTCTCCTCTGCCTCCCCTGGCCCTGGGCTCTCTATCACACAGTCCATGCCACCTCCTGCTCCCATCTCTGTGAGAGGACCCAAGTGATCCTGCAGGCCCCGCCTCAACCCAGACACTGAAGGTCTACTCAGGGCCCAGTGTCACAGCCAGGGCCAGCTCAGCTGGTGCCCCTTGAGGTGGGGCAGACTCAAGGACCCCTTCTCCTCACCCTCCTTTGATGTAGTCAAGAAAGGTACACTCGGACTCCACGGCGAAGGACAGCAGGGTGACCTGGAAGACAGGGGAGGCTCGGTCGGGGGGGAGCCTTGGGAGGTGGTGACTGACGTACCATCCGATGCAGCAGCTGACCCGCGCCGAGCACGCAGCCCACACTGCCACGCACTGCGCCCACAAGCGTCCTGCAAAGCACCAATTCTATTCCTCTTACAGCTGAGGAAAATGAGGCTCCAGGAGGCGACACAGTGCTGCCAGGACGTGGCAGGGTGGGGATAAACGATGCCAGACCGCACTGAGGGTCCCGCCTATCACTGGAACTCAGGAGCCCCAGGCAAGGGCAAGTGAGCCCCAAGACCCGCGGGTGGGGCTCAGAGGGCCACTGCCCACCCTGCCACCACCCCTGCTGCGTGCCACATCGAACCCCGGCCCACGGTTCTCAGGTCTGTGCTTAGAATACGCCTTCCCTGGGCCAGCTCTTCCCTCTGGTGTCTCTCAGTCTCCACCTGGGGCCCCACACCCCCAGAAGCCTGTCCTTTCCCCAGCCCTTCTCCTGGGAAGGGGCCTCTTTCTTGTTCCCCATCCCTTGGTAGCTTTGACATTAGCTCTGCCAAGACCGGAAGCCAACGTGATAAGGATTTCCAGTCACGAAGCCAAGGAAACCCGGCATCCAAGGATGATTCAGGAGGCGGTCTGAGCCCCAGAAGGGAATCAGTTCCTCCAGGGCGCCCCCTGCTGGTGAGGATCCAGCCACTGCAATCACCCAGTGCTGAACAAAGCAAGATCACCCCCAGGCCTGGGTGATGGGAGGGTCTGTGGGTGCTAAGCAGGGTCCAGGGACCTCACCCATGGTGACCACCCTGTTGGGTGCCTGGAGGACCAACAGAACCTACTGCCTGCCAGGTGCAGCAGCTCAGACTTGAAGGAATAGACTTTAACCCTAACTCCCCCCCCCCCTTAGATAAGCTGGGAAACAGCTGGCAGCCCAGGTGGGGATCCCAGGCCAATTACATCACAGTCTGTGGCGGGCCTTGCTACTTAAACAGATGCTGAGATACAGAATCATGGCCCTTAAATTTTTTTTCTTTAATTTTTCATTTATTTGGTACAGGGTCTCCCTCCGCAGGTCGGACTCCTAGTGATCCTACCTTGGCCTCCCCAGTGGTGGTATTACAGGTGTGCATCACCACACCTGGTTTTGGTGGCCAGCATGGCATGCGGTACCAGGGACTGAACCCAGGTCCTTGCGCTTGCCAGGCAGGCATTTAGACTACGGAGCTATCTCCTCAGCCCAGAATCTTGGCATTTTAACAAGAACCCACAGGGATTCCCCAGGTGGCAAGGAAGGGGGGGAAGCAGGAAATACAACCCAGGGCCCCGCCTAGGCCTCCTCTAGGAGGGAGCTGGCCCAGGCACCTGCATTTCACATCTGCTGGAGCAAAGGCAGGCCAGGAAAACGGGGGCCAGGCCTGCTCTGTCCCCACCCCTGTGGGCGCAAAGCAAACCACATCCAGTCTCTAGGCCAGGCAAGCTATCTTCATTTCTACAGTCTTAGATTAGTGGGGTTTGAGCTTTTTTATTTTTAGCTGAACATCTAGGAGTTCCTGGAGGGGCAGGCACTGCCTCTCCTGAGGGCACTGAGAAAAAGATGGGAGAATTTTGGGGGTTCTCATGAGACTAGGGTTCTCCAGTAGCCATAGGCAGAAGGTAGTGGTGCTGGGGAGATAACTCGGTGGTCTAAATGCCTGCCCGGCAAGTGCAAGGACCTGGGTTCAATCCCTGGTACCACATGCCATGTTAGCCACCAAAACCAGGCGTGGTGACGCACACCTGTAATGCCAGCGCTGGGGAGGCTGAGACAGGAGGTTCACTACAAGTGTGAGCTGGGCAGTGAAACCCTGTACCAAATAGATAAAAGATTTAAAAAATTTAAAAAAAGAAGATGGCAGGGATACTGAGCAGCCTACACCTGTGGGGAAGTCCTGAAGACAAAGGATTCTCCTGTCCTGGTGCCAGCAGCACCTACAAGCAGCTACAGCCAAAGAACGAGGGTTCTACAGACTGGGCGTGGTGGCGCACACCTGTAATCCTAGCACTTGGAAGGCTGAAAAACAGGAAGGACCACTACAAGCCCAATCTATGTAGTGAGACCCTGTAAAATCCCTGTGCTAAATACGTTGAAAGAAAGACAGACAGGCAGACAGACAGACAGACAGACAGACAGAAAAAGAAAGGGTTTCACCCCCGAGAGGCCGTGCTCCACTCCCTGGGTGAGCAGGTACTTTACAGTTCATACTCCTGGCTGTCCCACCACCACCCAGGCAGGAGCAGGGCACGGATGATTCACCAGCCTGGGGAAATGGCCCGGGCCGTCAGGCACAGGGTCAGAGCTGCTATGTGGCACCCAGCAAGCCCGCCTGCAGGCTTCCGCAAGAGGGAGAGGGGCCCTGAGCAGGGGACTGCCTGGTGAGGCGCATCCACAGTGCTTCCCTGAGAGGCAGGCAGACATTATCACAGAACCAGGTTACACACGGGGTGGGGTGGTGCAGGCCTGTGATCTCAGCACTCAGGAGGCTGAGGCAAGAAGAGAACAGAGGGTCCAGGGCCAGCCTGAACTACATAGCAAGATGCTGCTCCAAAAAGAAACAAACAAACAGAACGCAAGAATGACCTGAGGATCTGAGTTCAATCCCCCGTTCCACAAAAACAAAAAAAAAAGAACCTGAGGCTCAGCCCTAGGAAGCCTGGGACGAGACCAGTGTGGTACCCCAGGTGGGCGTGGGCAAGCCAAGGCAGGCAGCACCTGGAGCAGCTGGAATCACAGGTATCGATGCCATCACCACTGCTCTCCAGCTCTGTGACCCCGATTGAGTCACCTCCTGGCCCATAGCCTGGTTTCCTCTTGAAGGCCAGCGGGTGCTGAGATCTGCCTTCCTGTTAGGGAAATGTTCTGCCCCTGCAGAAGAGCCTCTCAGGGAAACCCCATCCCCAGGATCCCTTCCTCTTCCTCTTCCTCTTCCCACTGCCCAGAAGCCCCACATGCAAAGCAGTGCCTCCCAGCACCTGCACGGTCTCCCTGCAGGCTGCTGCCCCTCCTGCCCAGCCCCTCCAGACTGAAGTCTCACTTTCTGCACAGGCAGGCAGACAGAAGACAGAGGTGCACTCAGGCTGCCCAACACCAGACCTAGCCCGGGGCCCAGAGGTCCCTATCTAGTTACAGGGAGAGGGGCGATGACTCACCGTGCCTGAATTCACGTATTTCTTTTTCTTCATTTTCTTTTTTGGGTTGATGACCTGCAGGAAAATCTGGTCATGTTTCCAGACCATCCAGGGGTGGGGCCCTGGGGCTGCCACCAACCCCTAGGTGTGGCCGAAGAGAAGGGCCAGCCAGGAGAGGGCTGCAGGGTCACCCAAGCTACACAATGGGGCTCCCCGTGTGCCACAAACACCGGGACTACTGATTTCACCATCCTCCCTTCTGGCTGCGCCCCCACCCCACCCCAGACAGCCAAAGGTGTCTGTAGTCACCGAGCGCCTTGCCAACACCTGTCACTGGCTCAGGCTGCACCGCCCACCCCCAAGGCCCCCTCTCTTTCCTCAGTTCCATCCTCCCAGCTCCTCTTCCAGTCTTGGGGGCTCTGCCCCAGGGCCCCCACTGTGCTGTGAGAACCCCTCAAGTGTTCTCGCTGTAGCCTTCAACTTCCCAACCCCATCACGCAATAAATCCCAGGCCAGGCAGACAGCAGGCGCTCACCAAGGACTTGTTAGTGGGCTAAGCTGGGACCTCAACCTGGGGTAACTGCCACCTGGAGAGATCTAGGGGCAGCTGGGTGTCACAACTTGGGGAGCAGGTGGTAGAACACCCTGCGACAGAGGACAGCCCCAGAACAAAGAAGAATCAGTCCCAAGCATCACCAGTGAGTAAGGCCACCCTGCCCCACCAGCCCTTTCTGTGCTTAGCTGGAGCCCTGCTGGCTCTGTTCACAGGGGACAGCGAGGCACAGCCTTCTCCGCACCTCAGCGTGGAGCGGGCGGCTTTCACACCCTACCTGCTGCCTGCCAGCTCCAGGTGAACTCACTTGGCCTCTCCCTGTGAAGACTGATGAAGGTGAGGAGGCAAGGGCCAGAGACGCCGAGCCACACAGCCACCCAGGTGTCCTGCCCCCTGGCAGTGGCACATACAAGGGGAGCCCACCAATGATGCCCTTTCAGCAATCTTCATGAGGGGGAGGCGAGTGTCCATTTCCTGTCCCTGCAACCATCCTTGCACTGGAGGAGCTAAGTCTTTAAGGCCACCAGTGACAAGGACTATCAAATGGGGTGTCGGAGGTAGCAGGGAGTTGGAGGAGGAAGGACCATTCCAGGTGCAGAAGGCAGGCTCCAGGGGACAGGAGCCCAGTGGAGAGCTGAGTCATCTGAGATAGGGGGAGTGGCACAGAACTTCGTGGAAGGGTAAAGGGATGTGGCTGGAAGGGATCCCTGAATGCCAGCAAAATGTCCAAATGTCACTCAGCAGGGCGCTTGGTCACCTCTATGCTAGTTGGAGGTAAGATGACAGCAGGCTCACTGCCACCACAGCAGGACTGGCAACAGGTAAAAGAGCACCTGCAGGGTGCTACGGCAGGTCCCGAGCTGTGGTGAGAAATTACGACTGGCAGGGCATGAGAGGGTGCAGGCCTGCGACCCCAGCACTCTGGGAGGCCGAGGCAGGAGGATCAGAAGTTCCAGCCCAGCCTGGCCAACTCAGCAATTTACGGAGACCTTGTCTCAAAATAAAATAAAATACACTCTGGGGATGGAGCTCAGTGGGAAGGAAGGCTCTGAGACCAATTCCCAGTACAGAGGTGGGCGTGGGGGTATCTAAAAAGAGAGCAAGAAATAAAACCTCACACACACAGAGGGCTGGATTTGGAGGCTGTAGGAAGTACAGGCAAGAGGGCTGGAGGGCCCCGCCGGTGGCACTGAGGCCTGAGTGAGGGCAAAACTACAGCCAGACACTGCACTGTGCCTCAGTTTCCCCATCTGTCCCACAAGGGTGTTGGGCCTCTGCTTCAACATAGCTCTTCCCAGCTTTGGGGCTGGCCTTCCTCTTGTGGGACCCCCAACATCCATGCTCTTTGTAGTCAAGCAATGCCCTGGACGGGGCTTTGTGAGCAGCAGACCCTGAAGGGCCCTGTGTACTTGAAGTTTCCCAGGGTCCCCAGAGCGCAGCCCCCAGTCCTAAGTGGCGGCCGACAGGAAGTGCCAGGCAGAAGGCCATCACCCCCTAAGGACAGCCCAAAGACCTCCTTCCCCTTTCCTCCCCCCAGAGGCCTATGGGGTCCTCACTGGTAGAACCTGCCCCTCTCCAGACAGCTCCCAAGACCAAAAGCCTGCCATGGGACTCCCTGCACGTGAAGAAGGCCTTCTGCTTCCCAGAGATCAACAACTGGGAGAACAGGTTGATCCAGTTTGCTGCTGTGAGCTCTGAGCCTGCCAAGCACCTCTGGAAGCCAAGCACCACCTACGCCCCAAAGCCCTGGGAGGAGGAGGTGAGAGAAGGTGGGGTTGGGTCTGCCTGTCCCTGCCTGGGCAGGGTGGACAAGCGCCCCACCCTTTGTGGGGCCCGAAACAAAGCAGTTGGCGATGTCAGAGTCCTCTGAGAGCAACTAAGCCACCTCCATCTTGCATTGCACCCAGAGGGGACCAGGATGAGGTGCTGGAAGTAGGGAGGACTCAGCCCCATGAGGGGACTTGGGCTGAGCAGCTGTCGGGGATGACCGGGCCATAGTGGCAGGACAGCTGCGAAAGGACAATCTCCTGGCCATGACACCAGGGCCCGGCACTGCTCCATCATCTCATTGAAGGCTCGGTCTGTAGGACACAGAGCCGTTCAGGGACTCAGCCAGGGTCCCAGAGCTGGCAGGGGCAGGCAGAGTGTGAAGCTGCTGTGACTGGGCCATGAACATCCACCGTAACCTGGTCTCACCATAAACAGTGCTGGCTGTGGAACCCCAGAAGGGGGGCGGGAGCACTGAGCCGGGATAGCCAGGAGCAGCAGGAAGAGTGCTCGGAGGAGCAGCCCAGCGACACTGGGGCGCCACGGAGGGCAGCATAGGGGAGCACCCACAGCAAAGGCGTGGCACGAAAAAAGCCTTCAGGGGCAGGTGCAGCTCTGGCCAGGTGGCCAGGTGCCTGCAGAGCAGCTCCCCACACCTGTTCCCCTGGCTCCCTAGTCCTAGCACAGGTTAGTGCTGGGCACCCCCAAAACTTTGGAGGCCCGGGGCTGCCTTGACTTGGGCCTCAGGTATCGAGCCTAGAACATTCTTTCTGGAGTTGGGAACCAAACCCAAGGCCTTGTGCATGCCGGGCACATGCTGTACCCATAAGCTGCACCCCAGCCCTTAGAAGTTCTTACCAGAAATTGCTATGATGGAGGGACCAAGAATCAGACAGCTTGTGCTACCTACAGACACCCAGGAAAGGTCTCACCCTCCTCCAAGACTGCTGCAGTTTGGGCCTTCAGCACCCGTCAAGGGGAAAGCTCAAAGCCCCAGCAGCCCCACAGAGCCCACGACATCCCTGTAAGGACTTGGGGCCAGGCCCCGGCACACAGGCCCGACCGACTGACCGACAGGGCTGCTCACCTCATAGATGTTGAACTGGCTCTGCCCACGTGCCAGCTCGCGGTAGCTGGTGGTGAACTCCCCGATGAAGTCGTGGCTGCAAGGGAAGCAGGCTCTGGAGGGATCCACCTGGCCCTCCTGGGACCCACGGCCACCCAGGGCCTTGCTCCAGGGCAACAGTGAAACGAGGCCCCCAAAGAAAGTCCAGGGTCACTTGCTGAGACTAAACTGGGACCCACTTACACTTGGATTCTTGTTTGCATAGAAGGCACTTGGGGCAGGACTATGGGAAATCTGCATATGAAATAAATTTCGGGTGACATTTAAGAATTATTATTCAGCATATTGGAGGTGATAATGGCATTTGTAGCTAGGTGGGAAAATAACCCTTTCTCAGAAATTCCATTCCCAATGAAATATTTCAAGTTAAAAAACGCCACGATGTCATTTACTTTAACCTATTCAAGCAAAACATAGATTAAAGCAAATACAGTGATATTGAAGTATTGTAAAACTTAAGCAATGAGCTTAAAGTTGTTCATTAAATTCTTCTCTCTACTCTTCTGTGTATTTGACATTGCCTGCAATAACATTGTTTAAGGTTTTTTTTTTCTTTTTCTTTTTTTTTTTTTTTGCAGAACCGGGGAAGGTTTTTTTTCAGAGATGGGATCTTGCTATGCTTGCCCAGGCTGGCCCTAAGTGACCCTCCTGCCTCAGCCTCACCAGCACCTGGGACTGCAGGTGTTCACACTTGCGCTGAGCTCTTTTATTTCTCATGGGGCTGGAGGCTGAACCCAGGGCTTCCAACAGGCTAGGCAAGTGGTTTACCAACTGATCTAATTTTTTTTAAACACAGGGCTGGCCATATAGCTCAGCAGAATAAAGCGCCTGCTTAGGCAGAGCACAGTGGCCAGGGTTCCATCCCCCGGTGTGCTGTGCCAGCCTCCCCCCCCCCCCCGTGCGTGCTGAGAGGGAGATTGAGACTGGGCATGGTGGTGCATGCCTGTAATCCCAGTGCTTGGGAGTCTGAAAACAGGAAGATCACTATGAGCCCAATCTACATAGTGAGACCCTGTACCAAATACATTAAAAACAACAACAACAACAAACTATCAGCGAGGCAGAAAGGCGTTTTACAAGGGCTCATGCCTGCTGGTCCTATGCTCAGCTCATCCACTGTGACCTGCCCTGTCACTTGGGTAGCCAGGGGCATCCGGCTGCATGATTCCCAGGAGGTATCCCGGAGCCCTGACAGGACCAAGCGGCCCCAGCTGGCTGTCCCCAGCTGCCATGGAAGAGACAGTCCAGATAAAGCAGAAGCATGAGACAGGCCGGGGCAAATCACAGACACCAGAGCTAAGTGGTCCAGATAGGACGCCAGACAAGAGGTTAAAGAGGTGAGGCTGGATGTGGTGGTATAATCCCAGCACCCTGGAGGCTGAGGCAGGAGGACTGCCTCCACGCTGAGGCTACATAACAAGCTCAAGACCAGACTGAACTATACATTAAGACCCTGTCTCAAAAACAAAACAAGCAGAATTTTAAAATAAATAAATAAAAGGAGAGAGCTCACAGAGATAACATGGGTGCCCAAGTTTTTCTGTTTGACTTTTTTTTTTTTTTTTTGGCAGAACCGGGGACTGAACTCAGATCCTTGCATTTGCCAGTCAAGTGCTTATCCTACTGAGCCATCTCCCTGGCCCCTGTTTGACTTTTTGAGACAGAGTCTCTCTATGCAGTTAGGGCTGGCCTTCTGTAACCCAGGCTGGCCTCAAACTTGAAAGGATACTCCTGCCTCCGGCGTGCTGGGGTTACAGGCGTCCACCATCATGCCCCGTCAAGTGCCAAAGTTTCTTGTAGGGAAGGTGTGGGCCTAACTCAAAGCTTCACTTAAGTAGCGTGTGACTGAGCTGACCAGGAGTCCCCCTGTACACTGCAGGGGTCAGGACTGCTGCCCAGGCCACACCCCCACAGGGATGTGGGAGGGGCCTGCTCTTGTCTGGGTGTGTGAGTCCCCAACACACTTGCCCCTGGGGCCCTGGCATTGCGAGTGGCACCTTCTCTCTGCCAGGCATTGCCCTGGGCTCCAGAGTCCACGCACTGGCACTTGCCCGGCCACCTCTATCTGGCCCTCTGTACACATCTCCCACGAGCTGGGGGGCTGTGTGCGGGTCATCGAGCCCACGACCCGTGTGGGGGGTCACCTCCTCAACCTCAGCCACCCCAATGGCCTCGCTAGGGCCTCCTGCCCCCCTGAGGCAGACCTTGCAGAAACGAGCACAGCATGAGGCTCAGCTCTCCGTGTGGGCCGGTCTCCAGCCCTCCTTCACCGCTCACCTGCCATCGCGATCCCAGTCATACACCTCCACCTTGATGGTCCTGGAAGACAAACAGTGCTCAGCGGGAGTGGGGTGGGCCTAAGCTGTGGCCTGGACCAGAGCAGGTGCGAGTTCAGGGCAGCGTGGGGTCGACACCGCAGCCCCAGAGACAGAGGCGCCACCCCGTGACCCTTCAGCACCGTTCTCAAGGGTGGAGACCCCTGCCTGAAACCGTCCAGGAGAATGTGGGAGAAACAGGCCCAGGTCTCATTTACCCCACTTTCTCCTGGCCACCCCAGAAAGCTCCTCAGCCCCTGCAGGAAATCATGCCCATTTTCCAGGGCCAGGAGCCTCAGGGCAGGGACTTGGGGACGGAGAATTAGATTCCTTGGCTTGGCCCTGGGCCCCAGGGGTTTTAGTGTGAGGACACAGGTTGGGCCTGAGCCCAAGGCCCCCACTCTGGCCTCCATCCATCCCCAAGACTGGCTCCTGAGTGAGGGCGTAATTATCTACACATTTTAGCCTGGCTGCTTTAATTAGTTTGTTTTGACTCCTAAGCAAGGGGCTGGGCTTCCAGAGCCCGGTTTATTTTTAGCCATGTTTCCATGGCAACAAGCTAGGACCAGAGGCAGGAGAGGTGGAGGGTTGCGGGTTAACCCTTGGTGCCTGCTCTTCTGGGGATGCCCAGGTCCGGGGCAGCTGCAGGTCTCCCCGGCAGCGTTTGGGCAGGCAGGTGCAGCCCAGGGAGCAGGGGCTCCAGGCTTTAGCCACAAAGGAGGCGCTCAAGGAGCTTTAATATGCCTCTTACAATAATCCACTCCCCCGCGGCTGGGAGTCAGCCTTGAGGTTCGGTGGCCCCCGGTAGGAGGCGCTGTGTTCCCGCGTTTGAGACTCCGCGGGATTGAGGCGCTGCGGGGCACAAACTGTTGCAGGGTGGAGGGGGGACGCCCAAAGGTGGTGCAGATTGGATTTTGACAGCCAGGACTTACGTCAGTGAGGCAGACGTTGACGCTCGCTGCTTAAAGAAACCCTTTCATACTTGCCAGAAACAACAACAAAAAAAACATCTCTCCCGTTTATTTAGGAAAGACAAAAAAATAAACCACGCTCCTGAACGCGGGTGGGAGGCTGGGAAGAGTGGGGTGCCCGAGGCTCACCTGCTAGAGCCCTAGCTGAGGGCCTTGGTGGTGCCATTCAACCTCTCGGAGCCACAAAACCGTTTTGTTTTATTTTTTCGTAGCACTGGGGATGGGACCCAGGGACTTCACACTGAGCTAAAACCCCTGCCCTTTAAAAATTTTGAAAATCGGGGTTTTAAAAGAGTCCGTGGTGCAGGAGCTGAGCATGGCCTGCTGCGATGGCCTTGCCTGGTGGAGAAAGCCAGAGGGGCCGGAGAGTGTGAGCTGCCAGCCAGTCCCTGCCTCCCTCCCTCCAGCCACTCCCTGAGGCTGGGCCCTGCTCCTATAAGGGCCCCCTCCTCTAACAGCCCTGAAGGCAATGAGATGGGTGACAAGGCATGGACTCAGAAGTGGTGACAGCCCTGAAAAGCCACACATCACCAGGGAGACAGCTTTGAAACCCCACGGCCCGAGGGCTTGACTTAATTGGTGTGCACAGGACTGAGGCTGAGTCCGCACCAGGCCGCCTCCGGACCAGAACACAGACGACTTCCACGCTTGGCTGTGCTGTGGGTCCCCTGGGGAGCTCTAGAAATACAGAAGGTGAGGCTGTTGCTTCACTCCAGAGATTCGGAACTGATTGGTCCACTGGTGACTGTTAAGAGCTCCCCAGGACTCTGAGAGGCTGAGGCAGGAGGATTCTAAGTTTGACCCCAGTTTGGGCAAGTTGGCGAGAATAAGTTTACCACCACACAGTCCCTTAGGGTTAGATGTGCTCAGGGGCTGGGACTGCAACCTCAGAGGAGACTGCGAAGGAGCCAGACAATGCACTATGCAGATGTGTCCCAGCCCTGGGCCACTGCAGGTGCCTCTTAGTCCAGGCTCCTGCCTCCACTGGCACAAAGCCAACATGGCATTTGGCATCACAAGGCTTGTGGGGGAAGGTGGTTTCCGTAGTGCAGTGGTTATCACATATCCCTCACAAGGCTCGTGGGTGGGAAGCCAGGCACAGGCTTGACTTGCAGAGACTCAGTTTACCCATCTGTACCAGGGCAGCCCCTCCCAGGGACACAGCGCTCAGGCACGTCCAGGAGAAGGGCCTCCATCACCCAGGGACCAGGGGGACTGAGGTGCATTAGAGCCCCAAGCTGCTGGGGCACCATCCCCTTGCTGCCCCCTCCCCCTGAAAACCTGCTACCAGCCCTGGAATGTGAGGAACAGAGGCCCAGCTCGGAGGTTCAGGCTCAGCGAGGGCAGACCCCCAAGGCACAGCATGCTCCAGAGAGGAGACAGGGGAAGCACCACCCCTGCTCGAGGTCCTCACCATCTCTAGACCATGTTCTCCTCCTCCTCCCAGCTGGGGATGGAACCCAGGGCCCCCACAGTGAGCTCCACCCCATCCCTTTCTAGACTTCATTTTGAGACAGCCCTGCTACACTGCTAAATTGCTGGGGCTGGGCTCAAATTTTTACCCTCCTGCAAACCAGGGGGTGACAACATGGGTCCCCCTCATGGGCTTGGGTGATACAGTGGCAGGGCTGAACACAGTTCGGCTGGGGGGAGGGGGCAGGGGCCTTGCTGACCTGCGTCCCTGCCAACCCTGGGGGCTGGTGTGCAGCACCTCCTGAGTGGCCCTGGATTAACAGCACTGTCACTCATAGGACCACCAATTTGCTTCCTGCCACTCAGAAGGGAACTTGGCGTGGTTCCCCCAACTCCTTGCACCTGACACCTACCTCCTCCAGGGGCCTGGTGGCACCAGCCGGGACCCAGTGGCCTTTCCAGACTTGCCTGAGCCTCTCCTGCTCAAAAACCCCAGGACTTAGTCAGGGTTGTGTTCAGCTACAACAGCTTATTTTCCTTTTCCTTTTTCCTCTTTTTGGCAGTACTGGAGATCGAACGCAGGGCCTTCTCATGGAGCCCATCCTCAGCTTTTTATTTTACTTTATATTTTGAGACAGTGACTCGCTAAATTGCCAAGTAGCCACAGCTGGCACTTGGACTGGAACTTCTCCTGCCTCAGCCTCCCAGAGTGCTAGGACTATAAGGGAGCCCCACCACAAGCTGCTGGAATGCCTGTTTGCACCCCCAATCTCACTCTGCATGGTTATTTAGCTCCGTAAAATACACATGTACATCCGTACTCCCTGGAGACAGAAATATAGCACTGCTAGCCGTGGGAAGCCATGTGGCTAGAGGCACAGGGCTTGGCACATGGTAGGGACATGATGACTGGGGGGACAGACTGCAGCTTGTCAGCCAGGCATCGGAGGAGCCACCTGTGTCAGACACCTGGCCTCTGGGCAATGGGTGCTCGGATAACGTCCTCCACCCACGTACCCACTGAGCGTTGTGGCCAGGGTCCTAGGGCCTCTGCGGGAATGGGTAGAGGGCACCCAACTTCCCAAGGCTGCTGAGGACCCCGCCAACTCACCCACCCGACCACAGCATCACCTGGAACCCAGGTGGCTCCAGTGTCAGCACCGACCAGCGTGATCCTGCGCGATCTTGAGGTGCCTGCCTGCCTGCCGCAGCCCCCAGCCTCCGGCACTTGCTGTGTGGGTAATGATATGTTTCTCTGTGTGATTATCGGATTAATGTCGCCTCCCCATAGCTGTGACACCCCACGAGGCTGCAGAGGGTGAGAGTGGTGTGTGACTTCCCCACGGATTTTCCGGCACCCTGTGCGGTGCCTGGTACATGGCAGGTGGGGGCTCAGGGGATGGATGGGGTGTGGTGCTGGCCTTGGTATCCCACACCCGAGGGTCCCCTTGTATGGGGGGCCGTGGGAGCATCAAACCAACCCCAGGAAGCCGGTGGATGTTCCGCTGCCCACACTGCCGATTAGGAGACCAGGGCCCGGGGGGCCTGTGGCTGCTGTACTGCGTCTAACCCCTCCACCTGCCAGCTGGTGCCAGAACCAGGAACACCTGGCTTCGGACCCCACCGGTGCTGACCAGGATCCTGGGAGCACCCCACGCTCTACCTGTGGAGGCAGACTGGGGTGCGGGCGGATGGGCAGGCCCCAGCCCAAGGAGCCCTGTGTACACTGATGGGATGGCCAACAGGAATGGAGTCCCCTGAGCCAGGGGGCAGAACCCAGGGGCCCTCCCTCACCGGTCGTAGTCCCCATTGCAGAGTGCTCTGACCGGGATGGAGAATGTCTGCCACACAGGGTTCAAGGTGTTCTTCATGACCTCGGTCTTGTGGCAAATGGTGAACCTGGCAAGGACAGGGAGGGGACAGGCTGAGGACGGAGACCACAGAACGGCGGCCACGGATTCCAAAGCTGACACGAGCCCTGGGAACAGCAGCAAGGCTGAGACCAGACAGCTGCTTTAGAACAATGGTGAAATGGGTTTGGGGGCTGTGGACACCAGCTGTCCCCCACCCCGCCCCATCTTCACAGCCACTCCGCTACTGTCAAGCCCCATGTCACCTGTCCAAGCGCTCCCCTGACCACACCACCTAAAACTCATACCCTCCTGGCCCTGATTGTGACAGCCCTAGTCTTCTTCCATACTTTTTCTGTTTCATTTGTCACTGCTTGACATTTTGACAGTCTATTTTTTCCTTATGTATTCTGTTCATGATCTGCCGCTCTGTGAGAACAAAGAGTTCTGTCTTTTTTTTTTTTTTTTTTTTTCTAGACCAAGTCTTACTATGTAGCTCACCATCCTCCTGCCTCAGCCTCCTAAATGCCTGGATTACAGACTCCTCGCCAATGAGTTTTATCTGTTTTGGTCACTATTATGTCCCCACTGCCTGGTGCTAATAAATAAATGTTTCCTCAGGTGTTTTATAGTGTTCCTTGTCTTTTTTTTTCTTTCAGATTTTTTGGGGCAGGGTCTTCCTATGTAGCCCTGTCTTTGAACTTATGGCCACTCTCCTGCCTCAGCCTCTTGAATGCTGAGATCTCAGGCCTGTGCCAGTAGGCCCGCTTCTTCCTAGCATTTCAATGCAGTGAAATCAAAGCCCTGACCTAGACGATCTCTAGGACTCCATCTCTTGCCCAGTCACACCTATGAACCCGCTGTGCCAACAGAAAGGGTGCCACTCAGCACCCCGCCATGCCCACCCATGCCACACCAGCCGGCCATGTCTCAACAGCCAGCCCAGCCACAGAATCAGTTGTGTGCCCCACAACCGCCCAGCCTGGAAAGGTCACCGGGTAAGTGCCAGGCCCCACCTGTGCCCACACAGCCTGTGCCATTTCTGCTCTGGCAATTTTCAAGTCAAAATGTCATTCCTGTCACCAGGGCTCAGCGTTTTTCTTCTCTGCTCCTTCTCGCCCACCCACAGGAGTGGAGATCCGTGTGGGAGACCTCCCCGCACACGCACGCGCACACACCAGAGGCTGGGCCCCAGGGACGATGGCGGCGTGAGGACGGGTGGTGGGGACTGCCTCCGCGTCTCTGGACCCTGCCCAGTCACCCGCAGACCTCGCTCCTTCCGCTCAACTCCCTGGCCTGCTTTCCCAGGCTGTCAAGAAGCCTGGCTTCCTCATTCACCAGAAACCTGGGCCTGTGAACTCCCCAAGTCCCTGTCACCACTGTCAGTCACTCCAGGCTTTCTGTGAAGGTCTGACAGGTGCAGGAGGCTGCTGCCCAATGGCCCGACAGCTGTGAGCCTGGTGTGTGATCCAGGTGTGTGATCCAGCTCTGCATCCCCAGACAGGCATCCTTCCCTCTCTGAACATCCTTCACTCACTGGGAAATGGGGGATGAGACGTGCTAGCCCTGCCCAGCCCTGCCCGGCCCTGCCCGGCCCTGCCTGGCCCTGCACCAGCGCATGGGCTCCTCTGCAGCCCTCCCAGCAGCCCTGAGGGGGAGGAGCCACCACGAGCCCTCCTGGACACGCAGCCAATGCACTCGCTGGGAGGTCAGCGCCATGCTGTCCACCCTGGCAGCCACGTGCTACTTAAGTTCAATTAAATTAAATGAAATGAAGATGCAGTTCTGAGACTGCACTGACCCCACCCCGGCGCTCCACAGCCACCCAGGGGCAGTGATGACAGCCTGGGCAGGGTGACAGCGTTTCAGCAGCCTGGGGCTTGGCTGGGTTCAATGTGCCTGAACTGCTCAGCTCCACAGCAGCGCCAGCGCAGGCCACTAGGCAGCCTGGGGGGTGCTTTTCCTGTCACCTCTCCCCGCCCCTCCTGCTCGTCCTCCCTGGACCCCTCCAGCTGGCCCTGGTCGGTTTCTCCAGTGTCTTGCAGGGTTCCCTGGGGTTCGGTGTCCCCCCTGGATAGCTCTAAATGAAGCCCCATGACCCATCTCCCCTCTGCCACCCTCCACACCCTGGGCTCCTGGCTCTGCCACCAGGGAGGAAGATCTGACCTGGAGTCCCACACTGTCCTTTGCCCTGTCCTCCTCACACTCGGGCTGCAGCGCCCCCCGCCTACCCCCAAGCCCTGCGTCCCCAGCCTCTTGCCGTGGCCCCTCCAGCTGCTTGTGGCCCTCCTCTCCTGGCCACCCAGCTGGCCCTCGGGAGGAGATATCGGTGGTCACTCAGGGCTACCTCTTTCTCCCCTTCCCCCACCCCACCAGAGTGGAGTCAACAGGAATTATTTAAAGCAGCCCTGCCAGGAGTCCTCCGGGAAACAAAGGCTCTTTTGTCATGCAAATGATCACACCTAATTTCCCGTTTTGCAGCTCCTTGTTAAAACTCCCATTTTTCACAGGAGCTGGAGCCTCCTCCCAGCAGCTGTCAAACACACACACACACACACACACACACTCTCACACCCACACACAACTTGCACTCTGGAGTCCCAGAGGCTGAGGCCGGGTGTCTCCACACACGCCTGCCAGCCTGCTTGCCTCCTGCTGCCCCAGGGACTCACTGTTTCCCTCCAAAGCAGCTTCCCAGCTCTCCAGCAGGGCAGCACTTGTCCCATCAACCTCCCCGGCCCCTGCAAAGCCTCTGTCCTGCACACACTGCCAGTCCACCTGGTTCACTTTATGGGAGAACAAAACAGGCCCAGTGGGGCCAGTAACTTGCTGGGGTCACAGAGCAGGTCAGTAAGGGATGGAGGTCCCAGACCTCCACCCCAGAATCCACCTGGGAGGGCATATTGCTGACCTGCACCTACACATGGCTATGCGCTTCTGTTATAGTTGCCAAGCTGGGTGGGCAGCTGTGGAGTCAGCCCAGGGGGCTGTATGGACAAGGACAAAGAACGGGCTGTGCCAGGGGTCTGTGGGAGCCAGGTCCCTCACTCCTGCCCGCTTGGCAGAGCTCGAGATGGTCAAGACCCCCGCCCAGGTCCTGGAGGCTGCCCCATGCCCACTGGCCCCAGCTATTCGGCAGGCCACTTTGGAGGGCACAAGAAGCAGATACCTGGCCAGAGACCACACCGCCCATCCCTGCCCCCAAGCAGTGCTGGTAGCGCAGCGGCTAGGCTGGACTGGACTCACGTTCCATCCTCGTTGCTTCGGTAGAACACCAGGAAGGGGTCAGACTTCCCGAAAAAGTCCTTCTTGTCCAGCTTATTGGCACAGAACTGCATGGTGGCCACGTCCTGGTGGGGGAGGGAGAAAACAGGGCCTGTGAGGTGGGGAGAGAAGCAGGGACCCGGAGCCTAAAGACCCAGACACAGTGGTCACCTAGGCAGCTCCACGCTGCACTTCAGAAAGGTGAAACGTGAGCCATGGCCACTCTGTGAGTCCTGAAGTCCCAGCTGTCCCCAGGGTCTCCTACACACACACACCCTGTCCGTGAGTCCCATCTGCTCCCACGAGAAGCTCAGTGGTGCAGCAAGGCCTGGGGCCCTGTTTACAGCTGAGCAGCCACAGTGCAGGGGCATCCTCCCCACATTCACAGCCAATTCCTGTCCCGTACACCAGGCTGCCACCCCACAGCCACCAAGAGGGTAGCCAGGCCCAGTGAGGACAACAAAGCCCGGTCCCCCTACCCACCTCCAGCCCTGGGTGCACTGTGGGACCTGTCTGTTCCACCCATCCCAGTATGCCATGAAACAATCAGGCCCAGGCTGGCTCTGTGTGGAGTTCCGGGGCCTGGCTGGCTCTGCACCCGCCTCTATATACAGTCCTGTCCTCCTAGCAGGGCAGCCCACAACCCAGGGAGGACCCGATGGCCCATCCTGTGGAGGCTGAAGGGCGCTGCTCAGCAAGGTGCAGTAGGGCAGCAATGGTCCACGTGCCTGCCCTGACCCTACACCCCACCCCCGTGGCCTAGGGCAAGCTACTCACCCTCTCTGGGCTCAGTTTTCTCATCTGTGTGTGTGTGTGTGACACTGACAGCACCCACCTCCAGGGTATGTGGATAAAACGCGCTGACGGAGGGCCACGCTGCGACAGCCAGCCGTGGCTTCCGTGCTTCTCCCTTCCTCCACTCCCACCACCTCTACCACCACGCGGCCCCCACCAGGCAGGTGATACAGCAGACAGCATCCTCCATCACTGCCTAGGCCAGCTTGACGCGGCAGTGCCTCTCACAGTTGGTCCTCAAAACCACCATCACTTGTCCCCAGTGCAGAAGTGGGGGCCGGGGCTCCCGAGAGTTCAGGCACTGGAGTCTCAGCAGGTTAGGGAAACTAGGGGGCTGTGTGGCATCCACATGCTGTGTAGGACATCCACATTGTCACTGGTTCCCTCACCTGACAGAGGAAGCCACTGAGGTCTCTAGAGGCTGCACCATGTACTAGAGTGGAGCGGGAGGGGGGGACATCCACTCTGGTACATGCACACAACCCCAGGAAGCAGGACCTCTGGCAGGAGACAGCTTGAGGCCTGCACCCCACGGGCTCCTCCCAACATGGGCCTCGTGCAAAAGGAGCAAAGTAAACCAAGATGATCAAGGGCAAAAGAGGCCACCAAGTGTGGGCCCTGCGGGGCTACAGGCTCCGGCACCTTCCCAAAGGCCACCTGGGGACAGCAAAGGAGTTCTGAGGTCCAGGTCCAGCTCTGGCCAGCAGGGAGTAGGACACTGAGGCTCCCAGCACCTGAGCCAGTCACCCCTGACCAAGAAACCTGCTCTGCTGGGCCACTAGGGGACCCCAGCACTGTCACCCACCAGCCCTCCAGGGTGAGGGCACATGGGGTCCTGTTGGCCCCTGAGCCTGCTGGGGCCAGGACAGGGGACAGGCTAAGTGGCAGAGTACCATACCTGCTGCTGGGTTGAACCACAGGAAATTTCTAACCAGAGAGAAAGGCAATGTTGTATGGCACCATGGCACACGCCTGTAAGCCCAGCACTCGGGAGACCGAGGCAGGAGGATCCCCGTGAGGTCAAAGCCAGCCTAGAATACACAGTCAGACTGTTTCAAATAGACAACAACAAAAGGGCACTATAATGGGGTTCTACCTAACGGGCACCAGCCGCTACCTTTATGTCTGTCCTTCACTGAACCTTCCCAATGACCCCATGAGGCAGGCACTGTTATTAGTCCCATCTTAAAAGGGCAGAAAGCTACGGCACCGAGGGGCTTACATTCTGCCTCGAAGAGGCCACACAGCCAGGAACAGGGATGGGACTGGAACCAGACAGCCTGGCCCCAAAGAGGAATCCCTGCAATTCTAAATGATGACCCCTGGAATCATCAAGAGGATTTTCATTATGTCCTACAGCCCTAGTTGGAGAAGGCAGAAAAGTATGAGATCCATTTAGAAAGGCCTCCATGCAGACTGGTTAAAATTAAAATAAAATTAAATAATAGGACGTCTCCGAAATTCAGTTCACTGGAAAAATCCAGCCGTGTGTGTGTGTGTGTGTGTGTGTGTGTGTGTGTGTGACATTTCATTCCCTGACACGCAAGGGGCAGGAGAGTGAGGCTCCCTGGCGGCTGGGGTCTCAGCCTGACCTGCACCCCAAAAATAACCTAGACCAGCGGCTGTTCGCTGCTGTCATCGCCATACCACTGTAGGATCCACGGGGACAGGAGAGACCTTCAGTGAGGTGACCAGGCTGTCACCCGGCCAGCGCCCCCTGTGGGAGTGAGGGCGGCGTTGTCTGGCGCTGGCGTTGTCTGCAGTGTGAGGAGGAGAGCCTCGCTGAGGGAGTCTGAGAGCAGGCTGGGGAGGACTGCTGGGACGATCGAGGCGGCCGGGGAACAGGGCACCCACAGGGCCCATGTGGGCCCCTCCAGGCTCATGAGATGCCAGCCCAAACCTGAAGCTCTGAGGGAAGCAGCCACAGGGAAGATAAAGCGGCTCCCGCAATCTGTAATTTCCTGCAATTTCTGCCTTTGGCCTTATCTTTTAGAAAAAAACATACCAAGTTCTGAGACAGCAGGCTTGCCTCTGCGGGCCTCTCCTGCATGCTCACTGAGCCTCCTGGGCGAGGCAGTGGCCACTAGGCGTCAGGGCCAGCGGCAGGCGCGGGGGCTGCAGACTAGGGACAAGAGAGTGACCCCCAGGAGAGGAAGATGGGGGGCTGCTATAGCTTGGACCTCATTGGCAACCAGGGTCAGGAAAGGCATGAGGAGAATACGAAGTTTGAAAGTATTCCAAGTGTCAGTAAGCCAAGCACTCGGGAAGCTGAGGCAGGAGGATCCCTGTGAGTTCAAAGCCAGCCTGGTGGTGGGCCAGGCGGGGGGCTGTGCCCTGGGCTCACAGCCAGGCTGCTTTCTGGGCTGCCTTACTGATCAATCCCAAACCACACAGCATGCTGATGTCCTTCAGAGGCTGCCGTCACAGGGTGACACTCTGCCTCCCATTCACAATGCCTGAGCCGCTGGGACACCAGCCCAAGCCAAGGAAATCCACCCGCGGCACCTCACACCCACCAAGGAGCAAGCAGATGTTCGCGGCAGCACTGTTTACCCTGTTTTCCTGTGAGATGGATCTGTCGTGGCCCATCCGGATGAGACAGGAAGAACAGACAGCTATTAAATACATGTTTTCTGAGCCCATCTAACACAGCAAAACGCAGGCTAGAAAATAAGAGACCAAGCTGGGCATGGCAACGCACGCCTGTAATCCCAACACTCTGGGAGGCTGAGGCAGGAGGGCCCCAAAATGGGAGTCCAGCCTGGGCAACTGAGTGACCCAGCGAGACACTGCTTCAAACCAAAAATTTAGAAGTAAAAAAACAAAAGCCTGGACGTGCAGCTCAGAGTGGCAACAACATGAAGTGACAAAAGATCCTTGATACTTTATTATACCAATTAAAAGAAAAAATAGGGGCTGGTGAGATGGCTCAGTGGTCTAAAGCACCTACTTAGAACAAGCTAAGCAAAGCGCAGGGACCACAGTTCAATCCCCAGCACCACATGCCAGCCAGCCCCGCCCCCTGGTGGGCTGAGCTGGCCACACACACAAAATAAATGAAATTAAATAAATAAATAAATAAATAAAAGATCTTAAAAAAGAAAAAAAAAAGAAAAAATAAGCACATGTACAACCAGGAAAAAAAGCCTCAGAGAAAATACATTACAAGGTCAACAGCGATCACCTCTGGGCGATTTATTTTGTTTTCGGTTCTTTTTTGGTGCTGAGGGTCGCGGCCAGCACCTCACTGCAAGCTAGGGGCGAGCTCTGGCGCAAGCCCCACCCCCGCTCCTGATTTGCTAGTCCCTCCTGGGCTTCTGGGAATTCCAGATCATCCGTAATGAATGTGCTAATTTTTTTAGCACCAGGAGAAATGTTTTTTTGTTTGCTTTCCTTTTTTTTTTCAACCAGAGGGATTATTTCTGACTAAAAAATTATATACTACACTTCCAAACACCACTGTCTAAAGGCTGGGAATTCGCAGTGCCGGATGCTTCTGTCTGCTCCAGCCACAGCACAGAGCGCCCCTCCACGACTCTGTCTCCCCACCCCCACCCCGCGTCTGGGGGAGGGTCCCACCCCCACCTTCCACTAACTTTTTTTTTTTTTTTTTTGGCGCAGAACCGGGGATTGAACTCAGCCCCTTGCGCTTGCCAGGCAAGCACTTATTCTACTGAGCCATCTCCCCACCCCTTCGCTAACCTCTTGCTTCCATCATAATCGGTCTCCCTCGGCTACCGGCCCTCCCTCAGCCTCCCACATGCAGAAGTGGGCTCTCCCCAGCTCCCTGCTCCAAGGTCTCACATGGTCCAACTCCTCCCCAGCCTCACTGTCTGCCCTGACCCCGGGGCCTTTGGCCTTTGCGTGTGCTGTTCTCCAGCTGCCTGGACCCAGCTCCCCCAGCCGCACCAGCTAGCTGCAGACTCTCCTCTTACCTGTACTTAGATACAGAGTAGCTGTGAGTATTCCTTCAGGAAGAGGGAGTATTACAAGATGGTAACTACTATGAAAAGAGGGCAGGCTCCCAGGGCTGCGGAGCACTGCAGGAAAGGAACCCCTGGCTGGCATTTCTGTCTCACAAGGAAGCTCAGTCAAGATGTGTACAGGAGCCAGGGAGATAGTTCAGTGGAATAAGCACTTGCCTGGCAAGCTCAAGGACCTGAGTTCAATCCCGGGGTCCGGGAAAAAAAAAAAAAATTGTGAGGCTCCTCAAACACAAAGGTGTCACCACTGTCACCCTGGTGGGCTGCCTGGGAGCCAGGAAGTCCCCAAGGATGGAGGAGGCGGGATGCAGGAGGCAAAGACTCCGGCTCTCTCTGTGATCCCAGCTGTCCAAAGCTGTGCAGCCTTCGAGGGCCGCCGAACCTCACGGAGCACACCAGGCCCAAGAACACGAACGTAAGGCCTCGCGGAGGCTCTGGAGTCCTTACGTAAGGGCACGGTGGTGCACATCTGTAATCCCAGCACTCAGGAGGCTGAGGCAGGTGGATCACCACGAATTCCAGGCCAGCCTGGGCTACACGGTGAGTGCCTGTGTCAAGCAACAAGCAACCGAAACAGTATAAGTAAGAGTCTCTTAGCAAAAGGACTTGGAAAGGTCAGCAGCCCCGCTGGCGTTAACAGACTCCACTGAAATTTGGTGCTTAATGAAAATAATGAAATCGCGGGGACTTCGAACAAAGACTCCCGAGCCTGGCCTCCTGTCAGCCACGCTGAATAGGATCTCGAGCCAGTTCTGACAGTGGGAACTTTCTTCGCATTCAATTTGCTGAGGAGCGAGGCTCTTCCCTCGCTTGTCAACCAGCGACACGAGAGTCCACCCTCCTCCGCGCTGGTCCCCACCGCCCACGCCGTCCCGGTGGATACAGGGGAGGGAGGTTCAGCCGGGCAGGAAGGGCCCCGCCCCCTTCCTTTGATCTTCGACTGAATGCTGAGCCGGGAGCCTAGCGAAGCTGCTCAGATGTAATTACTTTAATTCAGCCAGATGCTGGGGATTAGTCTCTTTTCCTTGCTGCAAGTATTCTAAGGAAAGACAGCTCAGCCCAAGATGCGCCAGAAAAGGCGCTGACAGCCTCAGGAGGAGGGAAGGGCCGACTTCTGGCACAGGAAGGGGTGCAGAGGGGAAGGGCCCCCAAGAGCTCCCAGCCAAAGTCTTGGACCAGCCCTGCCATGGGGGGCTAGCCATGGAGGGCCTGGGGCTGCGAGATTTCCAATTCGTCCTTGCTTCTATTTATTTCCAATTCGTCTTTCACAAACCAGTGGTGGCACCCGCTGGCTGGGAGCTTGGGGGAAGGGGGAATCTGTCCCAGGTACCTGTTAGGTCATCACGTACTGCCACCCCTCTGACCTCAAGTCACCGCCACTGCCCAGCTCCAATCACAGGTTGGAATCCGAGGCTGCGGTGCTGGGGCTCGTAGTAATCCACCTGTCTCAAACTCCTCAGCACTGGGATTACAGGCGTGCACCACCACGCTCGGTTTCAGGGCCGGCACATCATGTGATACCAGGGATCAAACCTGGGTTCTTGCATTTGCTAGGCAGGTGCTTAGACCACTGAGCTATCTCCTCAGCCCTAAATTCTATTTTCTTAAGCCTATTTTTGCAGTACAGCCTATTGAATTCAGTCCCTTCACACTGAACTACATCCCCAGCATTTTTTAGTTCTGTGGGTTTTTCTATATTTTCAGACAGGATCCAGCTAAGTCACTAAGCTGCCCACACCAGAATCACACTTAAAAGGATCCTCCTGCCTCAGCCTCCCAGAGTGCTGGGAGGCCCACAGGTGTACACCAGCACCACCAGCTTTGTCTCTGAACACCTTCTGCTCTGACAGGAAGCCCCTCAAGGTAGAACTCACAGCTTCACGGCCTCACACGGAAAGACCTCAGGTCTCCAGCCAGACTGCCTGGGCCCAGCCCTCCTCTGCCCAGTGGCTGTGTGGTCTCTTAATCTCCCTGCATTAGTTTGGTGTCTCCCTGTGCAAGCTGAGGCGCACAGCCCATTACTGTAAACCACTTAGCACCCACGTGGCTCAGAGTCACTGCTCAGCTAATGGGTACTACTAACACCAGAGTTTCCCAGAGGTCGCTGGCAGTGAAGACAGCAGCCGGGCAGCACAAGCAGACACAGACGTGTAGCTGCCTTCCAGCAGGCCAGATGCAGAAGAGGTCCACAGCTATGTAAAACGAGACCCTCTTTGTATTACAGAACCTCTGCGCTAGAAAATATATTTATTTTATGCTAATCTATAATATGTACAACCGCTGTTACTTTAAGTAAACAGATAACTTCTAGTCTTTTCTGTTGACGTGGTGAATGCTAGCAGGGACCGAAGGGCTGGGGAGACCCCGGGTCTTGTTTCTCCTCCTCATCCTCCCTGCTCCAGGGCGTCCTAGGCTGGGCCTCAGCTGGGCACCTGCCTCTGCGCCTCTTCCCATCCACCACTCTGTTCCGGGTCCCCACGCCCCCATCTGCCTCCCACCGCCCATGGTTCTCAACTGACCCGAGGGCCTCTCAAGCCTGGGTGGTTTGGGGGATTATGCTCTGATTTTAGAATTAGGCTGACCTGGATCGGAACCATGACTCTGCTTCTTACTGTCCTGGAAGAGGTGACCTGACCCCTCTAAGGGTCAGTACGGATGGCCCAGGCTTGCCATTGGGAAAGATATGTGACCTGTATCCTGGCACAGATAATTAGTGTCATTATGGTCGCTCACCGGGTACTTAGCCATTGAGTCCCCAGAGCCCCTTCCCGTGTGCTCAGATACCTCCGAGCTGTCCCCACCACCTGCCTTGATACAGTCTCACAGAACAAGGAAAAGCAGGGTCTGCTGGGGTCTGCAGACTCCAGCCTGCCAGTGTGAGAACACACCCAGACACATGTGCACACGCACACACATGCACGCACTCACACGCACTCACAGGCTCTCTCTCCCTGTACTCGACTCCATCCAGAGATGAAAGTGAAAGATGACAACCACATGCCAAGCACGGAGGACGGAAAGGCTCTCGTCACTGGGGCTGGTGCCAAGGCGGTCTGGGCTCAAGGGCACTCAGGGACGGCTGGGCGCCCCACACGGGAACCTCCACTGACCCAGCCACACTGCGGGCCCCATCTGCCCTCTCGTGGCTGCAGGGACCCGGGGCATCCTGGGTCACAGGGAGGCTGCCCTCGTCCCACCCCGAAGTCCTCCCTGGGGCCCCTGCCACTCACCCGACAGTTGCTGAGCTCCTCAGCCGATAAGATGATGGTACCACATTTCTTCCCTGGGACACCACTGAGGGACAAGAGTGGAGCATGGAAAGGTAGCCAAAGTCAGAGACTCCTAGGGCTCCAGGAGGCGGCCTCCCTCCCGGCCAGCTGATCTGCCCACACCCCAGCAGTGCCCGCGCCTTCTGAGGGCGGCCTTCTCAGGCCACAGGGCCTGCGCCGGGAGCCCACCGGGGAGGCGGTGCCTGCAGCCAAGTCCTAGAACCACAGGAGCACCCAGACTCACCCGGACGCTTCTGGACCAGTGGTTCTCAAACTTTCCATCCAAAGACCACTTCTGTGGGCAAAAGACCTTGTGGGCCGGCCACCCCTCCCCGCTCGGCCCAGAGTGCCCAGACATTCTAGCCCTGGCTGCTGTGACATCACAGGAGGAAGAGGAGCACCTCCCTGGAGCCCTGGGGCCGGGGCTCCTGGAGGGGACGGAGCCCAGCCAGCCGGCAGCTCCTCAGTGGGTGGGGCCCCATCACCTCGTCCCCCACACTGATCATCAGATCACCCCACTCTGATCTTTGGGACCAAGCCAGGGTGCCGGGGGGGGGGGGGAGAGACAGGGCACACCAGGAGGGAGGTCAGGCAGGGGCTGGCCAGGGCAGTGGGGCTTACTACCACATGCAGCCACGGGAGTGGGATGGCCACGTCCCCGGCACTAGCACTCACGCACAGTGCCACGCCCAGGGGACCCAGCCTATCCGTGTAACACAGAGGACCACTGATGGGGAGGCTCCCGACGGGGCTAAGTGCAGGTAGGCCTGAGCCTCCCTGCCCAGGGCAGGTGGCAGCGCGCCCACGATCCCCAGGACACGGCCTCCGAGCTAGGGCTCCAAAACCCTCCAGTCCTGGCCCCTGCTCCAGGGAAGCAAAGCCGGCCTGGGGGCCAGGCAGAGGGACTCCTTGACAGCGGCCTCCTCCACAGCGGCCTCCTCCACCCCAAGTCTCTCCATCTGTTCCTTGCCACCACCGCGTCCTTCTTCTATTTCTGCTCTTTCTCTCCCTCCTCTCCAGCCCAGCCTGCTCCCACTGCTCGGTCCTCCTTCCTCAGCCTCCCTCTCTCCCTGGCTGCGCTCCCGTCCCTGCCTGGGCTCTCTGCACGGGGCTCCAAAGAGTAGGGAGCACACAAACCACCACCCAGAGCACCCTGTCAGGTGTGGGCGAGGTGGCCCAAGCCTGCCTGGTGGCAGGAGGAGGCTGAACTAGCCTGGGTTTGCAGAAGGCAGGGAGGGGGCCCCACTCGCCACAGGCCCATGGCTCCTCGGGCCCTAGTGCTCTAGCCTGAGCCTGACCCCAGTGTCCTTGCTGTCCTTGGACCAGGGCTGAGCTCACTGGGTTGGATTAGGACCTGGACCCAGACTCAGCCATCCTTTGTGGAGCTTGCTGCGTGTGGGAAGACGCCAGGGCCGGAGACGGCTGCCACCTACCCATTGGACACGGCTGGCATGGGTTTGCCCGTCCTGGAGTTCAGGCTGAATGCTCCTATGCTGTGGAAAGAGAAAGACAGTGCAGGCCATGAGCACAGGCTGGCGCCGGAGAGGCCAGAGCACCCACTGCTCAGAAAAGGATGGGAAGCTACAGGCGGGCAGGAGGGGGTCTTCCAGGTCTTCTGAAGCCCCAGGCATGTTACATGATGCCAGAGGTTCTCAGAAACATGAACGTCCCCTAGAAATATATGTTGTCAGCCCCACCGTCCCTATCTGTGTCAGAGCCTTATAGCCGGCTCAGGGACAGAACTGCCAGTCCACCTCTGTGAGCCCCTATGCCAGGCTGTGGGAAGGTGAGACTGCCCAATGACTGAGGTCTCCAGAGAGCAAGCTGCACCCACAACCAGCAGATTCATGTTGCGGTCCCAGCCTTGATCCCCCAAAATGTGACTATGATGACAGTCATTGAGGGGAGGGTACAGAGATGAGGACACCAGCACACAGAAGACACCAGGTAAAGTCCCAGGGAGCAAGTCGAGTGCGGTGGTGTACGCCTGCAATCCCAGCTCTCAGGAGGCTGAGGCAGGAGGATCACTGTGAGTAAGACCAGCCTGGGCTACAGGGTGAGACTATCTCACTGAGAAAAGACAGCAAGGGCCAACCAAATAGCTCAGCAGATTAAAGCACCTGCTTAGGCAGATGCAGCAGCCGGGGTTTAATCCCCAGCGTGCCATGCTAGCCCCGTCCCCAGGGCATGCTGAGAAGTGACTGAGACTGGGCATGGTGGCGTGCGCCTGTAATCCCAGCTCTTGGGAGGCTGAACACAGGAGAATCACTATGAGTCAGATTTACATAGTAGAAACTCTGTAGACCGTGTACTAAATAAAATTTAAAAAAAAAAAAGAAAGAAAGGAAAAGAAAGCAAAAGACCACAGGGAGGGAAAGAAGAATACAGCCACCCACAGCCATGGAAAGGCCTCCGAGGACAACCCATCCACATCTTATCCTTGAGCTTCTAGCCTCTGGAGCTATAAGAAAATAAAAATGTCTAGTCTTTGAGTCATTCAACCCACGGTCTTTGCTACAATATCACTAACAAAAGAATACAGTGGTCCCTCTGTACCCACGGGGGGCAGTTCCAGGACACCTGCAGATGGCCAATCCTTGACTGCTCACGTTCCTATATAAAACGATGTTTGTAGACAGCTGCCACTTGTATATTTTTAATCATCTTTAGATTACTCGTAACACTTAGTAGGCTGTAACAGCTATGCAATAGTTGTATTGTGTAGGGAACAATGACAAAAAAAAATGCCTGTACCTATTCCGTGCAGACACAATTGTTCGAGATATTTTCAACCCGAGGTTGGCTGAATGTGTGAATTCGGTATCCTGATTTTACAGGTTTCATAAACAAAACCCTAACCCTCGTGTCTGGCCCAGAACAGATGCCCAGTAAACAGGAGCTGCTAATATGGGTTAGTCACGAATGCAGCTAAACTTAGACACAGGGAACCTCGGGTGGGGTACTAGGTCCGCCGCCGCCTCCTCCACTGGGGTCTCCTTCAGTCTCAGCCTCAGGTCCTGGTGTCCTGTAGGGCCCAGTGCACCAGCTAGTTCCCTGGGGACATCTGCTGTGCACCCCACTCCCCACTTCAGTATAAGGGGCCAGGTGGCAGCAGCAAACAGGGGCCTGAGAGATTTGTGGGCGCAGACCAACCGGTCTACAAGTTGGACCCGCAAAGACAGCCCCGTTCCTGGCCAGGCAGACAGGCGGGTGTCTCTACTGGGCCAAGGGGAAGGAGGGGTGGAGGGGCTGCAGGAAAGATCAGAAGCCATGGATGGGCCACAGTGGTGGCAGTGGTACTGAGGATAAACCCAAAAGTTTAAAAAAGAAGATCAGGAACGTTTGTGAGCAAGGGGCTAGCAGGTATGAATTTTATAGCCTTTTTTGAAGAGGTTCCCCAAAGTCTTTAAGCTTCAGATGTCTCCAAACCCGAGTTTCACCATCCTTAATAAGTGACAGCTGTTGGTGGTTTCCTGGGAAACGGAGATGGGCCTTCTCAGGGGCACACAGTCCTTCCTGAGGGCTCAGACAGGGCCCAGGAGAGACTCCCAACACAGTCAGGCGCACACTTGTACACCCGCACACACAGACTACAACCAGCGACCGCACTGAAGGACTGCACTGAAGGACAGCGTCCAGGGCACGTGCAGCAAAAGCAGGCAGGAGCCGATGCCGACCCCAGCCTGAACCTCTTTCCTGCCCTGCCCTGCGGCCTTGACACCTGTCCCATCTGCAGGATGCTCTTGCTCAAAGACAGGGATGGAGAGGTCACCTCAAGCCCCTGCTTGGCCCTTCCAGGCCTGTAAAGCCACGCTCAGACTTCACTGTGGGAGGCCTTGCGCTGCCTTATCCCAGAGCCTGCTCCAAGCAGCAACTCTGCCTCCAAAGCACCTCAAATCCCACGCAGACTATCAAGAGTCAGGGTGGGCTGGGAGGGCCTGGCCACACCCAGCTTGGGCCACCACAAGCCACGAATAATCTGAGATACGTTTATCAGTCCTCCAGGCTCCAACCCAGGCTCTCCCACCTCCTGGTGTGCGGCCTTGGGCAGGTCGCTTCTTTGGGCTTTAGCTTCTTCCTCCATACAGCAGTGGAGGCAGGAAATGGGCCAGGAGTTTGGAGCTCTGCTAACCCTCCCAGGTCAGTGGGTTCATGGTACCGTGAGCCATGCAGCCTCCCAGCTCCCAACCACCTTGCGAACAGCCACATGATTAGCAGCTGCCTCCCCGCTCTGCCCTCAGCCAGCAGGCAGGAAGTTGGCACCCCGCGCACTTACGTGAGGGGCTTCTCCAGGCGGCTCCCAGAGGACCCTACAATCTCTCCAAGGGTGCAGAAGGCCTGGCCCAGGAAATCCTGCAAACCCAGGGCACAGTTAAGGCCACTGTCACCTCCTCTGCCTATAGCCACCCCCACCCCCACGGCCAGCACCTGGGCCCTTGTAGGATCTGAAGTGAAAAACCAGCATTGGGCACATGCAAAACCCCAGGCTGAGCCAGAAAATGGCATTTCAGGAGCATTACGGACACACCAGAGCAGGGGCAGGCAAGGGAGGACTCACATGTTTGGATAAGTCAGGGCTCTTGGAGTCAACATCATACCTGCAGGAAACACAAACTCGTGGGAACACTAACCTGTGGCGAAGGCCAGTGGGACGCCCTACCCGGGTCCTCGAAGACTGGCAGGTCCCTTAGCTGAGAGGCACAGAAGGAGCCTCCAGGGTGCAGAGCCGGATAATTGGGTCCTACGGCCTAAGACACAGCCTCACCACCCGTGCTCCTCACACCTCAAGGAGACTGCTCTGCAAGCTGGGCTCAGCCACTCACCCTCACCCCTGCTCCCCTGTCCCACCCAAGGCTCCACTTCCACAGCACATGACCTTGCCCTTGGCCTCCCCTTCCCAGTTCACCTTGCCTAGGCTGCCCACCTGCCCTGGGGCCTGGGCACTCGCCACAGAGGCCTGGCACACTCACCTTGACCACAGGCAGGCTGACCAAGGCACTATTCCTCCCTCACCTATTGGGGCCTGCTCACCTGCTGGGGTCTGCTCACCTGCTGGGGCCTACTCACCTGTGGGGCCTGCTCACCTGTGGGGCCTGCTCACCTGTGG